ATATATTTCTGGGAAGATTTGAAGGCCTCATCCTCCAACACAAAGACTCCAAATAGTATTTTTCTTTTGGTTTAGGCCGATACTTTTGTGAATGTACAGTTAAACTGTAATATCTTTAATTTTCTAAGTGCAGAGCTGAGCTGTAAAGAGCTGAACAACACAGGTGTAAATATGTTGTTATAAAGCGTCGGTTTTATTCYATGTGTCTGTTTGTGCTTCGATCTAATCTGTTTTCTCTCACACCGACACAGCGAGGAGATCATCTCGATTAGGTGGCGATGACACCGGGAAACTGAAAACACCTTCCTTTGAGGTGTCTCAACTGAACCTGAGAGGTTTTTTTTTTTTTAATCGCACATCCAATTATGTGTCTGAGTCTGAGCTGTGATTAGCCATCATTCACACTTTGCTGTCTGAGAGCCACAGGTGCGAGGATGAAGAGAAAAGATGAGTGTAGGATAAACAAATAGAGTGGGGGGGCACAGCTGTACGTGTGTTTGAGACCGAGGGGGATGTGGAATGGAGGCGTTGCAGATACCTGTCGTTGACTCTTTCAGGGGAAATGTTTGCACAAMGTCACATTGTGATCCTCTCTTTTGTTATTCGGGATCAGATGGCGGGAGTTCAGGAACAAAGGCTTATCTGTGATCACTTCCGTCATCGCAGTACTTCAGGAGAATGGAGGCGTAATGAGGGCGTTTTTTTATTGCTCCGCTGCAAAAAAACAACATCTGGCTTAAGGAAAATAACACGTCACAGAGAATCAAAACTAGACAGATGTGCAACAAATAAAAAAGCCACTTTTCATGAATACACAGATATCATTCAGATGGATGTTATCCCACACTGTGGAAAGACAAAGGTTGTGTGTTTCTGACTTTTGCCAACATATTTCACAAACCACGACTTCACGAAACTTGCACAAAGTAATCCCAGCTCATCTAAAACTGATCAACTTTGGAARCCRGCCTGATTCACGACGGCTCCACAGCCAACTGATTGCACAAAACGGCTACAAAATAACTATAACAGTTTCTCAGCCATCGACCTTGAAATGAACGTTTTCAGCCGAACGCTGTCACATTTTGCAGCTTTGCACAAAATTGCTACAACTTTGTCATTTCTCATCAGCTTAGTTTAAAACTGGCATGAAATGTGGCAGGTGGTACGCATTCTATTAAGTATTAATGAGCCGTTAAAGGAGACATATCATTCAAAATCCACTTTTTTTGCTGTTAAATGCATTTTGTTGTGAACTTGGAGTCTTTAGGAGGCAGAAAAGTGAAATTTATTCTCTGCTGATATCTTTATATTTTGTTCATATTTTTCAACTCCTTCAGTTTTCTCTATTTTCTATGACGTCATCTGAACTATTACATCACAGTATTTGTGACGGAACTTCTAAATAAGGTCTGGATCAACTACAATTTGCTGGTCTTCCTTCTCCTCTGGCTCCAACATGTAAGGCTGGATGAACAAGTCTACCATTGTTGACAATTTTAAATTAATTTGTAAGTAAAGGTTTCTGCGCCGTTATCATAACCCACCCTGTCAAACCAGAATGGACCGCTCTAGATGTTGGAAGTGAGCGGTTGTGAAACGCCCTGTTTGAATTAAAAGAGACAGCCTCAAAACAAGTTGATCTGAGACACACTTCAGAAAAGAGGGGCTTGTGGACTTACAATAAGATCAAAGCATTGCACTTTATAAAGACCTCAACTGAATGATTTAAATATGAAAAAGAAGGATTTAATAGCATGATTTGTCTACTTTAATTAGATTATGACTTAATGTCTGAGATGTTTTAACTGTCAACAAAACTGATTTTATGAGGCGAAGCAAAAGGTTCCAATAATTTTATTGTTACAATAAGTTCATCTGGTAATTCATGCAAAAAAAGTTAAATACTCAGTTATAAAGGATATATAAATATAAAAATAAACTCTGTTTATAGTTTCTAAATCTGCTTTTGCACACAAACTGGGTCCAATAAATTATAAGTGGACAAAACTGTTTAGAAGCTCCCAGAAAGTTTCTAAGAAAAAAAAACAATAATGATGATGAGCAGAAAAAAAAAAGAAATAAGGATGCTTGTTTTCAGTACAGGCAGACGTTATTTATGCCTCTATTATTCYACAATACAAGATAAAAATCAAAWAGACWTAAAYATGCAGAAGACAAATAGAGCTGTTKGTRCAGTCATTWTTATACAATTGCTCAAAACTCCAGAATAATTAGAGCATGGACGCTTTAAGCACACAAACGTTTCTCTGTGAAGAAAACAAYTCAAGAGCAGCAAAATCCAAACATTATTGCACTTCATAAAAYGGCTTTTAAAGATTTAGAGTAAAAGAAAACTGTCAGCTTCATTTTTATTTTTGTCTCGATCTCAGATCTTAGACGTCTCAAAGTCATGACCCTCCAAGGCCTGACTTTGAGAAAAAAAGTCACTATGAACCACTGTTTGAAATGTCCCTGCCCACTGAACATTATTATGATAGACATGTTTTTATTATTACTTTGTCAAAAAATGACAGATCAGTAAGTGAGATATTCAGTGGACGAGATGCAGCTAATTACAATTAAAGGCAGAGCAATAAGCTGYAATGGATGTTTATCGGCTGAGCCAGCAGTTAATTACAGTTTTGTTCACGTGCAAACATCGTCACACTCGGGGRATGAAGAAGTGACGTTCATATTAGACACTGGCTTTGTTGCATGTTAATCAGATGGGGCTGTATTCACGTTGGATTAAAATATGGAAGTGCTGATCCCATTTTTGATGCGGCTTAGATTTCTGCAGCCAAATTCTCCAATATTCGCTTCATCTGAAAAAATAAAATACAAAAAGGAGAGTTATTTTAAAAAATAAAAAGACAAATAGTCTCAGGTAAATCAGTAAATGTTGAATAAATCAGGAAAACACACACCTCTGACCATGTGATGTGTCCAACCAGCCGTCCTTTGTCTGCCACAAACACAGTTTTAGCTTCAGCTGCACTCAGGATGCTGTAGGCCTGAAATGACAGAAAACAACCTAAGATTAAAAATAATAATAATAAGTTTAACACTTTACTCAGTTCAATGAAAGAGAAACTGTATATTGCTTGTTATTTGTTTTTGGCTTTTGGCCACTTAAAGTCAACAAAAACATCAACGTAACACTGATTTATTGGATTTTCCACATAGATTTTAGGGTTACCTTCAGGGAGTTTGTCTTTTCAGACACTTGTTGAGTGTGCGCTCACTCAATTTGTTGCTCTACCAAAGTCTTGAGGGAAATATCTGGTTAAAGTGCTAAAAGCTGCACTGTGTTCACCTGTGAGGCAGTACTGTTCCTACTAGTTAAATATTACTCCAATAAAAGTAAAAGTAGCTCCGTCAAATTATTACTTATTTGGTGTGTGTGCTTTCAAAAGCACTTTAGTATTGAAAGTACTAAAAATGTGATATTTTTAAACACAGTTTTGATAAGAAGCTCTAAATCTAATCTTACGTGGAAGAATTTCACATCGAGTCTTTTAGTTAATATTTATTTAAAAAATAAAAGTAAAAAAAATTTTTCAAACCTTGTTTTACATCCCTAAGGATGTATAAAAATACTTAGTAAAAAATCCTGACTGAG